TCTCACCTCTGAGCGGGAACTTGATCCCTCGGCCTTGCGTAGAGATGTGGGGTCACTCTGCATCTTCTACCGCATTTACCATGGAGAGTGTTCAGAGGAGTTGTTCTGATTAATACCTGCAGCTGAGTTTCATCATCGGACGTCGCGGCAGAATACAAAACTCCACCCGTATCATCTCGACGTCCGTCGTTCCACAACTGAGTGTTTTATAAGGCAGTTTTTGCCGCGCACCACCACTAAGTGGAACCAGCTGCCCACTGAAGTATTTCCGAACCCATTTGACCTAGGGTACTAAGTCTTCAAAAGAAGAAAGATCATACCCATTCTTAAAAAAAAGAGATGCCGGAAACTTATTAAGCCATCCCCTGGTCGAAATTAACAATGTCATGCATGGGTAAATTCGGTATACACTGGCATTTAATTTACAATTCGTCAGTTGAGCCTCCATGCCCGTAGCTATAGTTCAATAAAAAGAAATTTAAAAAGAATTGTCATTAATCTAAATCATAAAGCATAAAAACACTTTTAATAAAAACTGAAACTTTTAATATTATTATGGTGTTTATGTATCTATCACGTTTCTCTTCAACGTATTTCATTACTAAATAAAAACTAACCTTAGTACTATAGTTCGACCTATAATTCCTACGTAGTGTTCGCAAGTGTGGATGTATAATCGTTATGTATCGGCCAACTAAGCTCACGCAAAATCTCTCTAAGCTGTTAAAATGATGGCCATATATGGGCGTAGATTGTTATGGTGGAAACACGTGGCGATACTATTGTTTTGAGTTGAAATGTCTAAAAGCCAGCTGCTACAGTTTTCAACTACGAAATTAGGTTAGAGAATCGTTTTTGTCGAAATATTGCCTATTGTGAAGTTAGTTTGGCTAACTATTGGGTGACATCGGAGTTTGTTTTCAGCACGTTTGTTATGTAACAAATGTATGATATCTCGTTAGGAGTTATGGTTATACTCGTAGCAATGTTAGTTAAACACTATAGTAATCAATACACGATTAATTAAAAATTGTTTTTTTCTTTTTATTATTGCTTAATATATTATAAATAAACTAAAAGTATAGAAAACACCAAAGAACCACTAAGAGGTTTATTTAATTTTGGTGAAGAGGCCGCAGTATAAATTTATATTCCTTAGAAACTAGAGTTAAACAAAATACAATTAAAACAAAAAACGAAACAGAGAAAAAAATACATACCTTATAAATAATATTACATCTACGTAGGTATATAAAACATACGTTTCTCTAAAAACTTATGCAACCTTTGATGATTTTAATTTATCTAATAACATTCCTGCTTAGTGTTTGTAACTAGTACCGAAAATCTTTAATGAGGGTACATATATATTTGCGTACATTTAATCATTTCTTCGGAATGTTTCACCGGGAACCAAATCCAGCTTATATACCACGATCGTCAACCATTACGTCAGGTCATTAACCCTTCTAAAATATTGTCACTAAAAATCCAATAATAAAATTTAATCTAATCTAGCTTTGTAACCTAATAAATTATGATATTACATAGTTCAGATTTTACGGTAACATATTTTGTTTCACCTAATTATTTTAATGAGTTCGAGAATAATATTCTAAAAGGGTAATGTAGGCTTAATACAAAAAGCTCATTACCAAAATCTTTATAAACTGTAATGAAGAATTCATTTTAACCTTTACGTTTTATACTATTCAAAGTACATTTACAAAGATTACAAAAGCATCAGAACGAATGCTTTGTCTATTCAAGTTAAAATACTTTGAAAATGGAACATTCATAAACCAGCTTATATTTAAACTTAAAGCTTAATTTCAGTTTTATCGGGTGATTAAATAAAATATTCAGGTAAATTAATCCACTTAGGAACAATACAAAGCTTTATGATTTAATTTCGGTTTAGGGACGATCGCATTGTTACAACATCAAAACAAGGATAAATTGGACGGTAATTTCCTTTAAGATTGATGGATATTTAATATTATCTGTGGCTTAAAAGCTGTAGTTATAAAATTCTTAAAACTCATCACAGTAATTATTATTTAAGTATTTTTGTTAAAAGAGTCCTATTGTCACTTTTTTGATCGGTAATTTTGTGTAAAAGTATCATAAAAAATAATATCATGACGAATTTTCCTAATTAAATTAAATCCTCAATCCTCTTCTCGTAGTTTGTGAAACTAAAGGCAGGCCTCAAAATATTTCTCTGACAAGCAAGCAAATCAAACAATACCAAAATCTATTTTGTCGTTTTAAGACAAACAAAAAGAACATCTAACTTAATTCTCATAAATATTATTTATTGTTACGACAACGAAATTCTCTTTAAAAAAGAAAAAGACAGATATAGAATTTCTTAAATACAAAAATGATTTTAGAAGAACAAGTAACGCTAAGTTCTAATTCTGTTGCTACTCACGACGGAGCTCATGTCCAGACTGCATTTCTTTAACGTGCCAAATGGCATATGCCGGACATGTAAGTCGTGGCTGACCATGTCGCCACCAACATTAAAAGGCGAAAGCAACGACATGCCCTGTCGTTGGTGCCCCCTTAGATCTCTCTAGATAGAAACTCCTATCACACCTGAGTTACATAATTTTTTTATATATGTCTCTACTAAGACATCATGGAATGTCACGATCTAGCCTAACTTAAGACCAATAAGTAATTTCAGTCTAACTTAATTTTCTAAAAAGGATATTTAACATTAGAAAATAACACTATTAACAGTCTCTATGAAAGGGAAGACAATCGTTTCTTGTGTTCTATTTTTTTCACTCACTGTTTAGCACTTAATACTAAGACTACACTTATTCAAATTCATGCAAGAATACCTCGACATGGCCAACCATTTTATAGGGTGAGTTACATAGATGAAATCAAAGAAAATCCTAATATAAAATTATTATATATTTTAATAAAAATATTAACTTGTTATGAAATTAGATTTTCTTTTATTGAACAGAGGTCAAACGGGCAGGTGACTCCCCTGATCACACCCATACTGCCAGAAGACTCGCAAGCGCGTTACTGTGTTTTAAGAATTGTTACGTTATCTTGAACGACCCTAAATCTAATTAGTTGAGCATTTCAATACTTAAGTCTGGGGTTGGTTCCACATAGTGGTGGCGGCCAAAACTCAAAAAACGCTCAGTTGTGGACGAACGTCGGTTATACGGGTGGAATTTCGTATTTTGCCTCGATGTTCGATGCTGAAATTCAGCTGCAAGTATTACTCCGAACACTCTTTGAGTTAGATTGTTGAAACGGTGCAATTAAATTTATTTTATTTTATAAATAATGAAGTAAGATTTTTTTACTGGATTTAATTGAACAATTAATTTTGTATCATTTATCAGGCATAGAAAAATTACGTAATGCAGGTAAACCGGATAAAGCTATTTTTTTATGCAACAGGCGGCAAACGGGCAGGAGGCTCACCTGATATTAAGTGATGGCTCTCAAGTGCGTGGCCGGCCTTTTAAGAAATGTTACGCGTACGGTACAAACGTTAAGGTAAGGGAAAAAGTCCTTGAAAGACCCTAAGTCGAATTGGTTCGGAAATACTTCAGTGGGCAGCTGATTCAAAATAGTATTGGTGCGCGGCAAAAACTGCCTTAAGAAACGCTCAGTTGTGAAACGACGGACATCGAGGTGATACGGATGGTATTTTTTATTCTGCCTTGACGCACGACGATAAAACTTAGCTGCCGGCATTAGTCCGAACAAAATAAACTAATCTAAAGTTTTAATTCTGAAGACTATTCTAATAGCTAGTAGAATAGTCTATGAATGCGGTGTGAAAGATATAATTCGTTTTATCAGGGACAGCTGTCCCCAAAGTTTTGTGAATACATCAAAACTTTTGCGTCGCCATGTTGACGTGTCTAACTATTTACCGATGAACTTCATAAAGCAAGCGAAAAATTCTGGAAGCCACTCCAAAGTTATGAGAGAATAGCGTTTTATTTTGTGAAGTGAATATTGAATCAGTTAACTGTCATTTTATTTACACGTCTTGACATGTGAACCGTTCTGTTCGAAATTATTACATTTATTGATACAATTTATTCCAGGGTCGTGATATAGTGAGAAGTGTAAAATACACATTTTTCTTAAACGGGCAGGGGTCTCATCTGATGTTAAGTGATACCGCCTATAGACACTTCTAGAAGGCTCGGAAGTGCATTGCCGGCCTTTTAAGAAATGGTACGCTCTTTTTTGAAGGACCCCGAATACTTCTGTGGGTAGCTGGTTCCACAGAGTGGTGGTGCGCGCCAAAAACTGCCTTTAAAACCTCAGTTGTGGAACGACGGACGTCGAGGTAATACGTATAGTATTTTGTATTCTGCCTTAACGTCCGGTGATGGAACTCCATAGGGTGGCAACGCACTCGCGAGCTCTCTGGCATTGAGTGTCCATGGGTGGCGGAATCACTTAACATGAGGTGAGCCTCCTGCCCGTTTGCCCCCAGTTCAATAAAAAAAAAAGTGAAGGTATTAATCTGAACAACTCCTATGAACTCTCACATTTATACGCAACGCCAGGGGATCAAGTCTTTTATGTGTGTCCAGTTACATGAATAAAATTAATTAATCATAAACAATTTCTCAGTATTTTTTAGGATTCAGGCAGGATACCAACCCTAGTTATTTAAAAGTCCTAAAACAACATGCTTGCTTAAAAATACAAGAAAGTATGACGTCACAAATTTCACACCTTCACGTCAATTATAATAAAACAGAAATTACAACAAGCAAGGAAAAAAACACAGGCAAACATCAAAAACTAAAACTAAATAGATTTTAATCGATACATTTTCCTACACCTTTGTTAATCTTGCCCTCACAAAAGAATATTATAACATTGAACCAAAATCATAGAAAACAGTGAAAAACAAGGACATAATTAGTTATATTTATCGTGGAATATTTCAAATTTCGCGGCAATAGACGTTAATATAGCTTTTTCTGCATTTAATGAATTTAAATGCATTAAATTCATTAAATGCAGAAAAAGGAGCTATTTTTATCAAAAAATGTGCTCAAACTATCACAGAACCACTGTACATAATACTGAACTTATCCGTGAACACATTTGGCATTTATCCTGATGTATGGAAGATAGCTAAAATAATACCGATTCATAAGAGTGGCTCGCGGTTGAGTATTGAAAATTACCGCCCAATATCGATACTTAATACTTTCAGTAAAGTCTTTGAAAAGATAATTTATAAAGCCATCCACAATATAATAAGTAATTCACTTCCCGATGAACAGCATGGTTTTATCAATAAACGTTCTACGATAACCAACTTAACCGTGTTTACGAACTATGTACTGCAAAGTATGGATGGTGGTGCACAGGTTGATGTAATTTACACAGACTTTGAGAAGGCTTTCGACAGAGTGGATCACACCATCCTATTGCATAAGCTTCAACTTCTAGGGATACGTGGTGACCTTCATCGCTGGTTTTGTTCATATATAACAAATCGTAGACAGGCGGTTGCGGTGGGCAGTGCTAGAAGTGACTTTGTTCATATAAGTTCTGGAGTTCCTCAAGGATCTATATTGGGTCCCCTGTTATACAATGCATATCTTTATGACATAAATAGTAGCATTAAAGATTCAAATTACCTTATGTTCGCTGATGATAAAAAGATATACTTAAAAATAAACAAAGAAGGAGACTGTCAAAAAATTCAGGCTGACTTAAATAACCTTTCCAATTATTATAGACAGAATCGAATATCGGTTAATACTTCTAAATGTGTCAAAATAACATTCACCAGAAAAAAAAACAAAATTGACTTTAGCTATCATATTAATAACAAATCCGTAAAAGAAGTAGATTGTGTTCGTGACTTAGGTATATGGTTAGACTATAAAATGACGTATAATAACCATATTGACACCATAGTTGACAAGGCCTATAAGCAGCTTGGTGTTGTAAGACGTGTTAGTGAACATTTTCATGATGTCGACTGTATGAAAGTGCTATACTATACATATGTAAGAAGTATTCTCGAATATGGTTGCTCGGTTTGGTCACCTAGTTACACTGTACACAAAGAAAAAATTGAAAAGACTTCATAAAATTTATCTCCTATAAGACCTACAATAAGTTTAATACATATAATGACGCGTGTGAACATTTTAAAATTAATACTTTAGACTCTCGACGAAAACAATATGATTTATTGCTACTACATGACATTATCTCAAATAAAATTAATTGCAGCTTCTAGAAAAATTGCCCTTCCTTGTTCCTGCCTACCAGACTCGTAATCGTGCTTTGTTTCATGTTCCTCACATTAACACTAACTATGCAAAAAACTCAGTTTTATATCGCGCAGCCCGGACATACAACGACCAATATTTAAGCCTTGACCTGTTTAAGCTGTCGCGGAATATGATTAAAAGGAGTATTAAGAATATCCATAGCGCAAAATCACCTGCATCATAAGCATACCCCACATACACACCTTCACGTACTTACACTCACTCTTACACCATCACACAACACAGCCAAATTAGGTATTATTTAGTTGAATGTATTGAATATTTTTTTTTTTGTTGTTTGTTTGATTCTGTAATTTTTTTAACCTTTTTGTAGTAAAATGTATTATGTATTCCATCTCTGGCTATATTTTCATGATGGCACTTGAAAGCTCCGGTGTGACAATTACAGCTGATTCTGTGAAGACTAAGCTTCTGCAAGAAGTGAGAAGCTCTGAGTCTAGTGCATTGTATGTCAAAAGCAAGGGAAATCAGTTTGTCAAACAAGCTCAAGATAAAAATAAAACAAGTAAAGGTCCAAGGTGCTATGTGTGCAATCAATATGGGCATATAAGCAGATATTGCCGAAGTAAGAAAAAGGAACAGAAGTCTAAGGAGAACACAGATTCTGGGTATGTTGCTGTGTTATCTGCAACAATAAACAACGACAATAATTGGTATATTGATTCTGGAGCATCAATGCATATGACAATGAATCGTAACTTGATTTACGATGAAATAACACCTCCAATTTCCACAATAAGAGTAGCTAATGACAAGAAGCTAATTGTGAAGGCCTGTGGAAAAGTAAATCTTAATGTTGTCAATACACAAGGTCAGTTGGAAACTATCAAGGTACAGAATGTTCTCTATATTCCTGAGTTGGCTACGAATCTTCTCTCTGTCAGTCAGATAATAAATAGTGGCTGTCAAGTACAATTTGACAAACAAGGTTGTAAAATTTTGAATGAAACAAACAAGCAAGTTGCGGCTGCTAAAATGATAAATAATATGTACAGGCAACTTACACATAGTATTCCAGCATATATATCTGCTTCAACAGAAAATGATGACTTTTACTTATGGCATCAGCGTATGGGTCATTTGAACTACACTGACCTGAAGAAGCTGGAGACCTGTGCTGAAGGTGTGCAAATGTCCCTGAGCAGTAATGTGACCTGTATCTCCTGTATAGAAGGTAAACAAACAAGCTTGCCATTCAAAAGTGAAGGTTTCCGAGCAACAAAATTGCTAGAACTTGTTCACTCCGACATATGCGGGCCCATGGAAGTGAAGTCACTCGGAAATGCAAGGTATTTTCTTACCTTTACTGATGATTATTCTAGAAAAGTGACTGTTTTCATTTTAAAATCAAAGTCTGAATGTCTTAATAAATTTAAAGAATACAAATGTCTTGTAGAGAACCAACTTGACACTAAAATTAAAGTATTAAGAACCGATAATGGAACTGAGTATATAAATAATGATTTTGCTGAATTTTTGAAGTCATCCGGCATACAACATCAAACATCAATTCCATACACGCCTCAACAAAATGGCTTATCTGAACGTTCATACGTTCAGATAAGCCATTCAGATTCAACAGGACACTGCTTGAAAAAGCCAGATGTATGTTAATCAATGCTAACTTACAGAAAAACTTGTGGGCTGAAGCAATAATGACAGCAGCATACATAGTGAACCGTTCACCAACACGAGCACTAAATTATATAACACCTGAGGAGATGTGGAGTGGAATGAAACCTGATGTAAGTCACATGAAAATATTTGGTTGTTATGCAATGGCTCAAATACCTAAAGAGAAAATTAAGAAATGGGACTCTAAATCACAGAAACTTATTTTTGTTGGTTATTGTGAAAATAGTAAAGGATATAGATTATTAGATTCCAAAACCAAAATTGTCATTAAAAGTAGAAATGTAATTTTCCTAGAGAATAGTATAACAAGAAATGTGGTTCCTCTCTCATTGTCAGAATCAGAAAATAAAGAAACCGATCATGTAATTGAAAGTTTTTCAAACCATGAAGATAACACCACAGATTTATCGTCTCATACAGCCGTGGATCACAGCGATGGTTCTAATGACCCTGAGTATGTACCGGAGATGTCAGTGAAGTATCCTCAGAGTTCTAATATAACACTTCGTCCTCGAAATAAAATTAATAAGAACACAGAAGCTAAGACTTACCAATGCTCAAGTAATGTACCACTCTCTGTCACACCACAAACATATGCAGAAGCATTGTCATCAAAAGACTCTAACTTGTGGATGAAGTCGATTAAAGAAGAGCTGAAAGCACATAGTGATAATGGTACATGGCAGTTAGTGGAACAGCCACCTGAAGCTAGAGTTATAGGATGTAAATGGGTGTTTCGTATAAAGGATGAAACTGAAGGACTAAGGTACAAAGCAAGGCTATGCGCTAAAGGATTCACACAGAAAAGCGGTATTGACTATACTGAGACATTTGCACCAACTGTCAGATCAACTCAAAGTAACATACTTGAATGTTACTCTGATGCCGACTATGCCAATGATCCTGACACCAGAAGGTCTATCACTGGTTACATCTTCATGAAAAATGGAGCAGCAGTGACGTGGAGCACTCAACGACAATCGACCGTCGCTCTGTCTACCACTGAGGCAGAGTTTATGGCATCCTGCTGTGCTACAAAAGAAGCTCTCTGGGTTCGGCAGTTAATGCTTGATATTAACGAATATAAACAGAGTTGTATTAATCTTCATATAGATAATCAAAGTGCTATTTGTTTGATCAAGAATAATGATTTTCATAAACGATGTAAACATATCGATATTAAGTATAACTTTGTAAAAGAAAAATATGCACAAAAATTGATAGATTTGAAATATGTTAGTACTAATAGTCAGTTAGCTGATATATTTACAAAAGCTCTATGTAAAGTAAAATTTCAATATTTCAGAGAGAAACTTGGTGTGATTGAGAAACCAAAAATGTAAAGCTATCATATTACTGTGTTGTTCAAGTATGTTTATATAAAGTTTTTATAACTAAGCTATTTAATGTTTGGTTTTCATTTGTTAGCTTTAATAGAAGGCTCAAATTTAGTAGGAGTGTTAGTCTATAAAATGTAAATTTGACGCCTTCAGCAATTATAGAATACATCACTTGTTGTCGATGTCATATCTGGTATCTATGATTTGCTCTGTGTATAAGCTTACTTCCTTTTACGCCTTTGTCTGGTTAACAATAAAATATAATTAACACAGTGATTAATAAAATACCCGTTTCATTTAACAAACATCGTGGAATATTGCTAATTTCGCGGCAATAGACGTTAATATCGCTATTTTCTAGATTAATCTTGCTGAATTTCTATATATTCTAATGAAAATATCAAATATTTATCTGTCTTGGCAATCTCTCGCTGACCACGATTGTTGAAAAGCACTCGAACTGTCGAGCAATGTAAATTTTAAAAAGAAGTTTTATTTGAAAAAGACGAATTGTGCGATTCTCAACCCTGAGACGGTTGCGCGGTAAAGCGAGTACCTACGCATTAGGCTTTGGTAACTCGCGTTGTAAGAAATACGAGGTCTGATTGAAGTGTACATATGCAAACGCGCGCTTCGAGCCAAGCGCACGTTTACAGATTTTGGTTGAAACGCGCGTAGCGCACGTGTTAGCCGCGCGCTTCAAGATACATTTTGTTGAACGAACGCACGCTTTCGTGGAAACACGATGACGAGAATGGAGAACATTCATTTTGATTAGGATCTCTATCAATGAAATACAAGCGACCAACTATGTGGGATATGGAAATTTCCGAACTGTGACAGATGTATATAGTATATTCGCCCTACTTACGCTCGTCGAGCGCTTGAAAAAATTTACGTGTGAATACTTTTGTAACAAAGTGTAACAAGCTTCTTTTGCGTAACGAGATAAAAATCTTTTCAAAAATTTTATCTTTCGCCTTGTTCTACGTTTGTAGAAAAAAGGACACTAGCAATAGAAAAAACTAAAATGTTGACTATAGCTAACTTCAGGGTGACGGATTTTTATGACGGTGTAACAAAACGTGGCGGTTTGTGTGGTTTTGTTTATAAATTTACTCTCATCATTTTTCCCTAACGCGCCAAAAGAAGCATAACTTTAGAAAAAAAAGTTAAGTCTCGGGCGTGCTCTAGAGCTTTGTACATATGTTTAAAATACTTGTACGGTAAAAGATCAGCATACTGAGGTCACTGGCTTATTTGACTGTGTCAATTATAAATGGCCAAAACCTATAACAGAAACAATTGCAAAATCTAATGTATAAATATCTGCTCCACGGACTTAATTCGGTACTTCATACATGTTAAGTGGCTGTATTTAAACGTTTCGATTATAGTTTTATCTATATTCAAATCTAAATTGTCGTTTAATGAGGGATAAAAATATTTATCAGATTCAAACTCATAAAACTCCTTATCTATAACCGTTTAAAAGTAACTAGTTTGTAACAAATTAAATGCCTGAAATAAAAATATATAATAACTTTTAACATTAATATAAGCTCCTGTTATTAGACATAGGGCACGTTGGTTAGGATATTTGTAAATGAGTATAGCTGTTATTCGTAATTATACAATCGAAGTGGTTTTACTTATTTATTTAGTAATCCTACAACTAATAAAAATTATATATAAAAACAAACAGTTACACTAAAAATATAGCCAAAGATGGAATACATAATATTTTATTTACAAATAATATGTGGAATTTTAATTAGCCACTCGTTGTTTAATAATTTAATATACTATTTTTCATAA